ACACCTGATGGCAGGGGCTCCACAGGGGCACACCCATGGGAGATGACATCTCCTCTCTTTCAGATTATACTCTTCGTCCAGGAAAAAAGAGGAGGAAGAGGCAAAACAACACCCACATGTTGCATGGATGGGCAGAATAAGAACCTGAACATCCAAGTAATTGCACAAAACATGGTTGTGGTGAATTAATATCGTACATTGTGCTCCCCTCAACTCTACCATCAGATTTTGGAACCAATACCAGCTGTGGGAGGAGGGCACAGAATTAATGTCAAAAAGTGTGAAATGGTGTACATGTTCAACTCAACTGAACAGACATCAGCAGCAGGAGATGAGCATGGTTTGTTAGTGTGTGCTCACCTCAACTGAACAGAAGCTCTACTGGACAATCACAAGCTGCAGGAGGAGAGTACAATCTTGTAATGTGCTCACATCAACTCTACTGAACAGTCACAGACTGCAGGAGGAGGGCACAGTATTGCATTATGTGCTCACCTCAACTATAATGTATAGACTCAAGCTGCAGGAGGAGAACATAAGTGACATGTTATAAGTATACCCTGGGAGGCACCACCAACCACCTATAAGTATATGCTGTAATAAGAAAAGAGGAACCTATTCACCTATCTAAAGATATTGATTAGACTTTAGGAAGGCAAACAGAGGCAGACATTAACCTTCAGGAGATGAGACAACCAAATGGTGAAGATAGTGGATGATGAAGGTGCGAGAGGTAATCCATATTCCAGTTTGAAGGATCTCATCCAGCAACAGTCAGAAACCAGCAACGAGGGAATGAGTGAGGTGATGAATCTGATGGGATGAAATGTACAATGGTCTGTGACCATCAAACCCTAATGAGGTGTAGACCAAATGTATAAGTTGATTGCCCCAACCTATAAGGGTAGAAGGAAATATGTACCAGGAAGAATTCCAGGGAATAAAGAGTTGAAGACAGGAGCATCGAAAGTGTGAAGTATGAGATAAGTATCATTGAACAGAGCACAATAGCATGTTCAGATTCAATCAATCACCGAGATGAAAATAGATATAAGGGAAATAAGAGAGAAGAAGCAGTCACCTTCTCAAGCAGTCAAAGTCTTAGGTAGGAAGGACTGGTCAGGATAAAAAGAAGAATATAAGAGTGATGGGAGAGGGTATGGGAAGAATCGATAACATAACTACCTAAATGATGGTGACCAAGGGTGAGAAGTAAGACGAAATAGGTCTTGAGAGAATGTGCTATAAGTTGCAACATAGCAATGGCTCGAAAGGTTATGGTATTGGCAAACAGAACAACGTTGAGGTCTCAGTCAGGCATAGGAGCAGAACAAGGGGGTCTATGGTGAAGGAAAGAAACAAGGTGGAGAGAACTGGGGAGTAAACACCCAGTAGTGACAAGAAATGTAAAATGTTGTTGACAAGGCCACACAATAACCATAATGGTGGAGAAAGTTGATCCCCAGTCAAATAGACAAATAAACAAAGAGGGAAATTAGTCAATGGTAGGACAGTCAGGAAGACAGTGACAACAGATGGACCAATGTTGAAGGGTGACAGGAATGAAAAAGGAAAAAGACTACACAATACTGGAGTCCCATTCTATGGGTGAGAGACCAGACAATCCAAACATGAAGTAGGAGTGACAAAATATCTTGACGGAACATAGAAGTATGAGGTTGAAGCAAGAAAGAGGGTCTAATGGCAGGGAAAGTGGGGGGTTGGGTTGTCAGGCAGCATAGAACAGAGAATCAGAATCAGTCAGCCAGAGGGATGCCACAAACAGAACATGACAAAGAGAATTGTGAATCAAGACCAGGACCTGAGTAAAAAGAAGGAGAAGTGGGCATGCATAAAGTGAGACCTGTCCTGGCTGAAAGCATAGACAGCCAGGGTTAAGGGATGTTGAACAGGAGACTAAAAAAGAGGAAGCATGGAATTGGGAGGGATAGCAAGGGATCAATGAGTGGAGTCCCAAAGAGAGAGTAAACCATACAGAAACCTGGCATGATGAGACCATTCTGTGAACAGAATACAGTCCACACAAGAGAGGCAGTCTGCAACCAGACTTTTAGTGCCCACTACATGGCAGGCAATAAGACAAACCTATTGAGAAATGGCCCAATAAAGAAGGTCCAGGATTTCAAAGCAAAGGGTACTTGAGTGGATACCCCATGGTAGTTGATTTGGGAAGCAACCTTATAGTTGTTGAAGTAGATCATAAAGAAATGATACATAAAAAGGGTAAGAATTGAAAGCATACCCAACAGACTGCCAAAAGCCCATATGCACTGATATAGAGAGATGACTCCTCTTACATCCATGTGTCTGATGTGAAATTGTCATTCAAAGTTAAAAGCCTCAGTGAAAAGATACAGGTCCAGGTTGGATGGAGGTAATGAAACAGTGATGGTGATATTGAATTAGTCAAACCACTGATACAGATCCTCAAGTAAAGGAGGGGACAGGTAAACTTTTGAAGTCAAAAGTTCCCATGAGTGGATCCATTGGTTGCACAAGGACCATTGGAGGAGGTGCATATGTGTATGACCCAAAGGGATAAGGGATCCCAGTGAAGCCATGGTCCCTAAGAGCCGTATGAATAGGATAGGTGCAAATCCTGGTGACTAGTAGTTCCATAGCCCACAGGTGGATGGGAGATAGTTGAGCATAGCTGAGAAAGGTGAACAAGATATTTTTGTGGGAGTGAGGATATTTTGGAAGTTTTGAGGAACACCACCTCCTCAAGACATGGTAGATAGATAAGATCAGATGGAAAAAGAAAGAAAAATAGGTTAGGGAAAAGAACTGAAAAGAAAGTTCATGGGTAAGAAATATAGTAACCTCCCTGTGTGTATGGAAAAGTGTGACCACAGTTACACTAACCATGACAGACAGGTCCTGGCTTGACTTAGTAGTTACCAACGAGCTCAAAAAATTTGACACTGGGCAGAAGTCAGACAGGTAGAAAAGAAAAGTCCAGAAAAGGGAGTCAAAAGACAGAAAACAGTGGATTAGGACAAAGTACACAGTCTGGGGTTGGGTTTGGAAAAGTGTGGAAATAAAGGACAAAAGCAAGGATAGATTGACAGGCAGTCTCTGTCCATTGTACAATCCAATCAGGAATACCCCAAAAACACTAGTGCAAAGAAGGGCTAGGTGAAAGTCTCTCAGAAAGGTAGAAGGTAGTAAACCTGGAAAAGTTGTTTATCTCTACTTAACATTTCCCAGCAAGAAAAAGCCAAGTGAGCAAGAAATGGAAGATGTGAAATGGGCTATGTGGGAGAAGAGAAGAGAACAATAATCATCTGTAAAATTCTCTGGAAATAGTGAAGTGCATCAGATTTGAGGTGTACAGAGGAGAGGTAAAGAATAATGGATAAAAAGATCAGGAGAAGACGACAGTATACGGCACTGGAGAGCAAAACTGATGCCAAATAGTCCACCACTACCCCCTCAAACAAGCAAGAGAGATTCTAAATTCTGAATTCCCTTTCTCAGTGGCTGAGATCACAGATATAACAATCAGATAAAGGAGAAGGATGAGGCAAGAGGTTGCAGGAATGTAGTTGGTCAAGGAAGGAAACACCTTGATCACCAATATAAGAAAGAGGTAAAATGAAAGGTAGTTAGGGGTAGGATTAAAAAGTAGGGAATGAGAAGAATCATATGATACAGGGGAAAGAGAAATAATGGTACGTAACTGTGGAATCATGACCTGATAATGCTAAAACATTTGAGGGTTCTCTTCAACAGGAAGAGAAGTTCCCTAAGCATAACCAGGAGAAGAAAACAGTCACTCATATTCATCCTCCCCATTCTACCTCATTCAAAACAAGGGGAATGAATGCCTGAAGAAGGGACCAGTGTTGAAGGTCTTGGCTGCATAAGGGAACCCACTACCCCAAACACAATGGCTATCACATCATCCTCAATCAAAGCTCCTCCTTAAGCCATAGTTGATACATTACTTGTGTGAGAAAATTGTTCACTCCAGTAGGAGAAAATGTTACACGAACTTGTGAGTTCATAGTTTGTAGAAAAAAGAAGGAAATTAAGTTTCTCAAACTTTGCAAATCTTGTTACATTTAGAAAGGAAACATGTCTGATGTGTTCAGTGCCAAGAAAAACAATGAAGATTCATGAGTGCAAAAGCACAGAGGGAGTTAGTGTACAAGAAGGCATGTCGTCCTTCTACTGGTGGAGAACTTTTGCTGCAAAATAATGTCTTTATGTAATAGTGCAATTCATGAGAAATCTTGTAAGATTAGATGAGAGTTGCCTAAAGGCTAGTGGCATGTAAATCTCTAAGGCAAACATATGGGGAAGATATCTTAACTGTGTGAATAGGTGTGTATTGTCTCAGAAGCTAACAGTAACATACTTTTACAATATGATATTAAGATTATAAAAAATGACTATAAAACCCAGTATTTTTCTTTAGAAAATACATTAATTATAATTTCAATTTTACCTTTTATGATAAAAGAATGTTTTTCTATTAAACATACTAAAATAAGTGTTATGAAGAAAGTGACAATTCACAATCTTGGGCATTCTGTGACAAAATAAAGTTTAATTTATTGTGGAGTACCATTTTAAGAAACATTTTCCTTTGCAACCCTTTCATTTCTTTCTATAATTTGCAAAAATTCAATCAAGCAAAGCACTAGCATCATGGAATCAACAAGAATTAATTATATCACATATGTTCAATGTGCTAGTTTATTATGCTGTTCCTGCTTCCAAAGAGTAGACATAGATTAAGTTAGTTTGCAAAAAAAATGTTATTAATATGGTACTTGTGACTATTCACTAGAGTTTGAAGCTACTTTTAGCAACATGAAACAAGATATTGCTCTAAGTACATTAATATCTCATAGAAAACATGACCTCATAATTAACACACAACTTTCTGTTCTCTTTCTCATATCAACCTTAAACCCAAGAAATTATCCCGATCACAATTTTTTATTACAATATCTCTAATACTAACTTACATGAAATCATGTTGCACTCTATGAGCTCCGCTAACAAAAGCCTTGAATTCGAGACCACTTACATCACATTCTTCTGGATACACCCATTCAACAATATTTCCTGAAATATCAAAATATAGTTCACATATTGTTAACATAAAATTCAAAATATATATTTTGATTAAAAAATTCATTTTGTTTATTTGTTTTAAATTTTACATTAGTGAAAGCTTATTCTTATTCATCATTATGTAATTGTGTGATGAACAAAGATCATACACAAAGATGATCATAATGTACAACAAACAAAATACTATTCTGGATCTAAAAAGGGTGCAAGCTGGGTATAAATTAATTTAAATTATGACTTTCCAAAAGAATATCCTAGGCTAGCTTACAATGTAACTATAAAATTTTGGTTGTGCTTAGTTTTTCCAAACTTTAACATGAATCTATATTTTTAGATAACATGAAAATGTTTAACCTTTAGCATTTATAAAATATTATACATTGAATTTTTTAACCACTAACCCATTCAGGCTATGATAGATCACTAGCCCAAACCAAGTCATTAAATAATGCTTTTTTAATAAAGTTAACATTTTCTTAAACTGAAAATTATTTCCAATAATACTTACCTCCACTGACATTATACCTATCTCTCAATTTCCAGGGTTTCCACTCTTTGCCCAGTCTTTTATACCCAACTCAAATTTGCAAAATTCTCTACCAACTTCAATGAGCCCTCTATCTTGGTATTGTATATAAGCACCTTATTCAGATAATGTAATCACTTTTTCAAGACATAAACTGGCTTTTGGTGGGGAGGTTGGGCAGGAAAGTGTCAGCAAAGGTAAGTATTATTGGAAATACATTTTCAGTTTAGGAAAATGTTAACTTCCAAAACATACCTATATAGCAAGAAACTCAAACTGAGAAGGTGGAGGGGCCAGTGCAGGCATAAACCATATAGAAAGCATCTGTATAGAGCAGGAGTGTTCCAACATATAGATGGTACAAGAGTGGGGGAAATGCACTACATCCAGAACATGTATGCTCTTCACCTAAAACACACTTCCTATATCAAAGGTGGAATAGAATATGAGTAATCATCAGTATAAGTCGGCCCCAACCAGATAGCTGAGGTTCCACAACTCAGGGTTGGAATTACGAAGTTATGGTACCTATATCCCATGTTGGTGGCTAGGGCTATTGAACCACAATATTATATATATTTACTTTTGATTGGATCCCAACCTGTAGCCATTGAGGGATGCTTTTCGCACCACCGGAATCACGACGAGAAAGTAAGCAACACCGAATTGGACAAACTTTCTCCTCCACTTGAAGAAGTCCAAAAGGCAACACCCCAGGCTCGGAATGATGGGATTGTGTATGCCGTACTCAATCATAGTAACAGAACTCATCCGGTCTGGAATTATGAACATTCATCCTCACTCCTCAACCAAGTGGACAAGAAGTATTCCGCTTGCCCCTGGAATTATGGAGAGGACATGGAACCTGTATTCAACCAAGAACATAGGATGGGACCATTTCGCATTCAGAATTATGAGGAGACAGTGAACCTCCTTCCATGAACAATATACGAAACCGACACTGATCAAAGAGAATGCATCCTCAGCCGGATAGCTTTGTGTCAAAGCGGAACCAAAATTACGAGTAGGCTCCTGCAGAGGTTGGTGTCATTCCTGCTGAATTCTAGGAAAAACCTTCCATGGACTGAGTAGGAGAGCCCTCAACTTCACACTTTTCTCTTAGAGTGGAGGAACACTCGAACATTCTGGAGGAAAAGCCTCTTGTCCACCACCCTAGTGACTGGAAAATGGAGGTGGTAAGAATTCCCAAGCTCCACTAGTAGAGTCGGGGGTAATGCATGTTGGGAAGTCCTGCAGAACAGTGCAATAGGTGAACTAAGTAGCCTAGATTTTTAAAAACAAACCAATCTCGATTTATTTAAAATAAAGACTGCCAAGGACAGGCAGGATCTCCTTTAGCTTTACTGAGTGGCAGTCCATAATAAAAAGGTAATACCATCTGCTAGGTGCCTAGATGGTCTCATGGAACACCCCATGAGCCTGTTACAATCTGTAATAATTATAGTAAAAGTGGTTGCTAGTGTGGAAATGTAAAGAGAAAGCTTACCTGCCTGGGCAACACTCACCACAGAGTGGGATCCAGTAAAAAATAAAGAGTACATGATTGAGGAAAATACTCACCTCTGGTTAAAATAGCTATAGGGGGTAGTCAAAATCCCTCAGAAGAGGAAACTGCCAGATCAAGTAAGTAATGAGATAGCAAAGTATTAGGAGTAGTCCACATACCAGCTCACACAATGACAATTCAACCAGGCAGCTAATGACATAGAGATATGACAAATCTGGTGAGATGTGAAATGCAAAATATTGCTCTCCTGTAACAATATTCCATTATAGGTCATGTGAATCAATTTACAAAGGGTAATGGGAGGTAAGTCATGGGAAATAGAAAAATTCCAATGAATGAACAATCAATTCCTACTATGTTGAAATGAGTTAGTACAAGCCATATAACACTTGAGAGCCCTAACAGGACATAAATTATCAGGATTGGAGTGGTCATGATGGTGAGGAATGGCTGGCAAATGGATTGGTGAGAAGGCTTCACTGGCTACCAGAGTCTAGAGAAGAAGACCTATCAGGGTAAGGCAGGACAAATGTGGAATGATAAAGAATCCGACGTACATGGATTACAAACAACTGACTGACAACGTCCACAAGCCAACAACAACAACAAAAAATTCAATTTAAGAGAAAGGTGAAACAAAGAACATGAAGTTAAGGGCTCAAAGCGAGGATGAGACATGCCTGTAAAACAACTGTAAAATCCCAATTTGGTAATCGAAAAGGTCATTTGGGTCGAAGAATATGAAATGATTTGAGTATACCTGATAGTACTGAGGATTCAAAAACCTCCCGATAATTGGAATACAGAAAAATAGTGGATAAGGATGCCTTATGTAAAGAAGTATTCCATTTCTACTGATAAATGGTCATGGTTGGCCTAAGGAGAGATTTAGTTAAATACAGAGAAACCTTAGAAGTTAAACCCTTATATCAAGCAAAGGACTGCATAACATCCAAGCATGAAGATTCAGTTTCCACACATCTGATCAAGGTTGTCTCAACAGAGACTGCCAATGTGGAATAGGTATAAGTGGACATTCCTGCAGATACTGAAGAAGCAGAAACTACATTTGATATGCCCAAGAGAACTCAACAGGGAGTGGAACGGACCATAGTCAGAACTCCAGGCAATAACCAAATCAGGGAAAAGGCATACAGATGTAAACCCTTCCAGTCCTGACTGAATGCATTTACTACCAACACTTAAGGATGAGGTATCGGAGACCAAAACAACTGCAGTTGAGAATACTAACGAGTCGAAAAGGCATTGATCATTGGAGACACAAACTGAGAGCAAATCCACTGAAAAACTTGGTGATGTAGCATCTATTCCATCTGAAGAATCTGGTTGGGTCAAGACAAGTGTTGGCAATTAAATTCACCACTCCTGGAACATGACAAGCTAAAAGACTGATACGATGGGAATGAGCCCAGTAGAGAAGATACAAAGTACAAAAACAAAGGTCTCTAGTATGTGTGCCTCCTTGACGAGAAATCTGAGATACCACTGTGGAATTGTTGGAATGTATAATGACAATTTTTTCCTTCAAGAGAGACAGATCTTGAACCATTGCCTGGTTTACTGCAAGGAGTTCGAGAATATTGATATGGTGGGTAGACTCATCTTCTGTCCAAATACTCTAAAACTCCTCATATTGAAGATAAGCTCCACATCCCTGAACAGATGGATCTTGAGATGAGGTGGTGGCATGGGTACACCAATAGTAGTGTTGTTTTAATCCAACCACCATTTGCAATCAACGATGTTGCTCCTGAATAATGAGACAGGATGATCCACAGGATCGGAATGCATGATCAATTGGTTGCACAGTGACCACTGATGGAACCTCATATGTGCTCCTCCCAAAAGAATTAGAGGCTCGAGGGATGCTCACATACCCAAAAAGATAACCATCCACGCAGTAGAAGGAGACATAAGTAAAAGCCTGAAGGCTCTTTCCATGGCTTGAAGCCTGATAGGGGTTAGTTGAGCGCAACTTGAGTATTGAAAATCACACCCAGATGGACTAAGTATTGCATCAGTGACAGAATAGATTTCTACAGTCTGATTTTGTGGCTCCTGAAAGGAGAATCTGAGAGTGTTGTTCTGCTAATTGACAGGGTGGTGCCAGAAGAACCCAGTCATCCATACAATGATGTGTGCACAGACCCAAGGAATGTAAATGATGACAAAAAGCTTGAACAACTCTGCAGAAGATATAAGGTGCTGAGGCAAGATCAAAAGGTAGAGCCCTGAACTGCAACACCTGACCTTTGTGCACAACTATGAGAAACCTCCAGGAAGATTCTGCTATGGGAATATGGAGATAAGCATAGGTGACATTGAACTTTTGATTGAGTTGTGACAGATCGATGGTTGGACACCAATCTCCTGTCTTCCTGGGTACAATAAATAAATGGGAATAAAATACCAGAAGAATGGGATCGACTCTCTCTAATCCCCTTTTGAATAACAACTCTCTTATGGCCTGGGAATGAAGCTCCACTCACCATGGATCTGTTGGAGGTGAAAAGGCTTGTGCAGATAATGGTGGAGGTGATGTAAATTAAATGACCAGCCCTGAAGCCAGAACATGGAGTACCCATGGATCACTGGTGAAAGAACTCCAGATGTCCAGAAAGTGATGTAATTGTGATCCCACTATTCCCCTACCGATGGGATAGTCACAGATGCCATTGTCGATGGTCCACCCAAGCCAAAGATCCTCAAGAATACGGATGGACTCCAGTAGACCTAGAACCTATGGGAACCAATAGACCTAGAAACCAAAGAAGGGGAGGGGGGGGGCAGGAAACACTAAGAGCCAACACTCCCAAATTAGCATCAGAAAGGCGAGAAGCCAACAGCAATAGACAAGAATGTAAATGAGCTGAATTAATTTGTGATTCTAACATCTCTGTAACTCTGGCAAACAATATGGGATGGAGAAAAGGAGTTTCCCGTAACTCCCTGAGGGCAGAAGATGGTAAACGAACACTTTCTAAAAAAGCATCTCTACCCAATAAATCCCAATAACAAAGCAGCCAAGAAACCAGAGAAAGAACTGAAAAAAGACAATCTGATTGAGATGTCAGCAAAATCCCCAACTCAAAATCCTCAAATTGCTGAGGGTAACATTGATAGGCTTCCAACAAAAGTTGGATCAAAGATAAATACCTCAGGACAGTCATGAGAGTAAAACAAAACTAAGAAACTGTGATCTGTTTAACTCTTTTCAGCACAGGCTCGGTCCCTCGGACCAACCTCGTAACCATTTTGTGCTTCTTATAGTTTTCATGCTATAACTTTTAAATTAGTAAGAGAACGTTAACAAAATTTAGCAGATTATCAGTAAACATTAAAATGCTTTAATATGCAAAACATCAAATTTTTTATCAAGTCTTAAGGTTTATAAAGCAATGTTTTTCTCATGTTTTTTCTTTTTGCATGTTGCCTATCTATCATGCAAAGTAATACTCATTTTAAGATTAAAAATACTTTTATGCATCAGAAAATTCTGAAATTTCACATGTAAAATCTTTATAATGTCCAGATAGTTATCAAAGGTTTCTTAAGAAAAAAAACTTTATATTTTATCTGTTATTTTTAGTAATTAATCTCTGTACAGGTTCAGTTGACAGATCTTACACCCACCATAAACAATTAGGAAATAAATATAAATTATGCCTCTTTATTCTAGAATGAACACAAATTATATCATGAAAACATAAATGTTTAGACTAAATAGCTTAAATCTCATAACATTATACTTTTATATATATTTATTATTTTCATTATATTGACATTTCAGCTGTGTGTGGCTAACAATACAGAAGTTACAATGAAATGGCTCACGTGCACTCATGTTACCGTATCAAATAATATAAAACTGTCCTTTGGTCTGTGGAAATTAACTTGTCTTGGCTGTGTTTTAGTAGACTAGTATTTTGTAAAATACAGTCAAATTTCAATTATTATACATTATATATGTATATAGATTATTGATATTTTGAAACAAGTTCTTAAACTTATTTTTCTTAAAACATATAACAGTAACTAAAGACTTGAAGGTTTTTCATTGTACAAAACTTGAAGATAGCTTTCATATACAGAAACATCTGTTGGCTGAGTTCTTGCACAGATCTTAAAATATAACATCCATAAATTAAAACATCGGCTCATGTAGATACATAGATCTTGAAGGTAGAGTTGTTCAAAACTTGAAAACAGCATTGATAACTGGACCAATTGTTGGTTGAGATGTTGAAAAAGTAACTAAAGAAGTAAAGCAAACAATTATTTATTTGTTATTACCTTTGTACCCGAGTGCTGCTTGACGTAGGTTGCTAAGCCTTAAAAAAATTGCACACGGAGGATATGAAACAATTTTTTTAGGTTTTTTATATATATACATTTGAATAATTAAAACATTATAAATTACTATATTAATACCATAGAATTCCACTATAATTTATCAAGCTTAGTAACTAAAATGTATTTTAGTCAAAAAACATATGAAGTTTCGAGCAGACTAAAGACACACCCTACCTTCTTCAAATATTGGTTCAAAAGAAAGAAATGGCACCAAGCCCATTAAAATGGCTGAGAAAGTCACTAGGGGGGGACATACTGAGCTTCCGATTGGTTATTCATGTCATATATAGAAGTGTATATAAGGGGGAGTTTCCAAAAATGGAAAGAGGTGGGTAGGATGCCACTGTGTTTGATTTATTACATGAGCAATATCTTAGTAAATTGAAAAGATAAGAGGCCCTTATTTTATATTCTAGCTTGTCAATATTGGTAATTTGAGTTTCTAATTAGTTCAAAACTATAGCCTTAGTATTTTGACTTCACAAAAATACAATTTGAATCAGTGCTGCATTCAACATACCATGTGACACACAAAATCGATGTTTATCTGTGTTTTTTAATATTTGCTTTTAAATTGAAAAATTGAGTAATATATAGTACTAACATTTGAATAATAATCTACAGTTTGATACCAAACTTATTGATATAAATTCATGAAATAATAGTTGAATAAAATTTTGAACAACAAATGAGATGACATAGCCTTTCACTCGTGACCAATCTCGAAAGGGTTAAAGTGATTGCAGGTTTCAATCTAGACCCCCACAGATCCAAAAGGTGGTCCATCAATTGAAAATGTGAACATATCTCCTTCTGGTGGTGATAAGGCAAAGCATGCTGTTCTGATAAATGTGGGGTACGAGGCATAACTATCCCATCACGTAACTGAGTGGCAAATCTCCCAGTATGAACAGCCATATCAGGAGAAAAACGAAAAACCAAGTAGTCACTTGCCATCCTTTCTGCCAACAGTTGTTGGAAGTTGTGATGGAAATTGTCCAAGAGAAGGTGAAGTGTAGCCAAATAGCAAAGAAGTTGGAGTAAGAGTAAGATAAATTCAGGTATAGTGAAGCTGAAAAAGAGACAAAGGAAAAATGTGGGAACTCTTAAGTGTGAATGAATAATTCAAGTTACTAAGCATCAAGTAGATGAATCATAATTATAGGTCATAGAATAAGTCATAAAAGTGAGAAGGGTGAAGCTCATGTGGATCAGTGCAAAGCTTAGACAGAAAAATATCAGCATGAACACAAATTTTAATAATCAGAAGGAGATTCAGGAAGAATACAACCCAAGACTCATCAAAAACAACTAAACTAGGTGATGGGTAGTGTTAATAGGCTGTATTCTAACTAGTCTATTGCTTCAAAATTAAAAACAGCACAGATGGCCCATGAGTAGTAGCTTATTTCTAATCTTATCATTTAATGTCAGTGTTGATAAAAACATATATTTTCCACAATTAACATTATTTTTTTCACGTTATAATTTAAAAGTTCCTTTAGAATTTAAGATTAAGTTCCAAGTACTTAGCAATCAATGAAAATATTAAAAATAGAAGTAGGATGAAACAAAATGGAGCAACAAATTAATTATATGAAGTGGAAAATTTAACTCTACTCTCAAGTATAAAAGAGAAAGAAAAAACTTTTAAGCCAATGGCTTAATTATCTTTTATACTCAGTAATCCCATGCACATGATCTTAAGAGCTGTATAAAGAATAACAATCTTATAGTCCTGTGTGTTCAATGGAGTATCAAGAGGATGCCCACATCAACAGCTATGGCTTTAATCAGCATATGCAATCAAATAGCCTAAGACCAAGGACACAAAATTTACGGGTTGTCTATACTCCTATTAAAACTGATACAGCCACAAAGTTTACTTGATAATTGTTTGGACATGATCATACCTGGGACTCATGGCCATGATCAAAATTTTGTGTACGAACATGTCCAATGGGATAGTGCTTTTTTGTTTGTAGTATTACTGTAAGACAGTTTTATTTTCTTAACAAGGTGATTAACTTATTCAATGAGCAGAAGTATATGTCAGCATTTTGCACGAGTTTTAAAAGAAGCATCCGATTTCCTAAAAAGTTAAAGGTGAGTTAAAATTTTAGTTTTACTTTTTCCCAGAAATAACCTTAAATTAATTAAAACACCTTTTGTTGGCCACATGTCACGTTAATATATTCAACTACAACAAATATTAGGAAAAGTGGCAAATGATAAAATCAAACTCTTGTCATGCATTGTGAAACAAATGTTATTCAAAATTAATTATATTAATATATAAAATACAGTTACTTGTTGTATCGTGCACAGAATTTATCTCAGTTTTTTAAATTTAGTCCACCTTATAACTAAATATAAGTTATATTCAGCAACCAAAGTTCATTTTCTATTATATTCTTTACATTTTCACAAGAAAGTAACAGCACATGAACTTTGATCATATAATTTAATAACTATTATTTATTTAAGTTTACAAGTAGACTACCATGATGTCAAAATGTTCCCTTAACTCGTAACTAACCGAAATTTAAATTAAACAGTAAACTGCTCACCTGTTCGAGATTCAAATGCTACAACAAAAACACAAACAATTCCACTACCTAATGGAACTGCATTTCTTCCTTTGAGTTGCATTGATTCAAAGTCTTTTTCCAAGTATGAACTAGAGTCATGAAGTTTTGGTGTGTCACAACTACTATTAGTATTAGGCCTACTGGTATTTCGCTTTACTAAATCACGTGAATGGTCGAACAAAATATCTTTTCTTCTTATCACATTAGTCTTGCTAAAGTCATTCTCATATCCGAAGTTTTCTTGACTTACAGGATAACAAAGTTTATCAACACCACGTAACGAAGGGGTTAATAAAGGCGGTACTACACAATTTCCTTTCCCTTGTTTAGAAAGTAAAGGAGTTTCATCATTTACTACGTTTTCGTCATCACTCGACATAATTATCACACACACGAAATGCAATGCGCTTTAATCCACTACCTGAGGCAGGAAAACAATTGTGGCGCCATCTAAGTAAGAAGTTACATTTGCCATAGGATATTAGTATTAGGCCTATTATATTTTAACACTATATTCATTATCTCGAGGTTTTCAAGAAGAGGAGTGTAAAGTATTTTTTTATTAGACATAAGTTTCAGACTTATTTTATTGTTTAGAACCATATTATTCATTCAGTCCCTAATTCAGTAATTGTTTTTCGAAAAAAATAAGAACATACAATAGTGTTGTTTTAATTTGTTAGAGACTGTAAAAGCCTGCTAAGTTCGAAGGATGTGATGTCAAGTTTTTTTCTAGTACACTCGAAGCTAAATTATAAATAAGAGATAGTTGTGAAGTGTGTGAGTTATTTTCAAGGTATAGAGTTGAATTATTCAATTTATTTCCTGTAGCAGTTACTTTGTATAAGTAAGTTGATTTATCTTATCTTATTTAACGTCATATTTAACGTAGGCCTACAACAAACTTATGACAGTGTGCAAGTGTTCAAGTTTGTAGGAAATTTAAAGGAAGAAATAAAGTACTTTATTATCATTACGTGGACGGGACTGAATTATTTTTGCCAGATAATTTAAAAGACCCACCCACACACCCCCAGCTAAAGAACGACCTGCAATACTGGTGTCCAAAGAGAAGTAATATTTTGATGAAAATAAAGTAGTATACCTGACAAAGAAATTCAACTGTTGAAGATGGTGACAATGAGGTCAATTACTAATATTCAAGGTTTAGTTGAAAAGGTGAAACTATTGAGACAAGATCAGGAGGAATTAAAAAGAAAATTTAAAGAAGAACAAAACGTTTGTTGGTTTGAAGTTAAGCACAAAGCTACACAATCGGCTATCTGCTTTTAGCGTTTT